ATACTCATATAAATAATAATAATATTACTTATAAATTAAAAAAATATATTCCTACAAATAGAAATCCCATATATAATAATTTAACCCAAATAATAAAACCATATCTATTATCTCATTCCACTAATATTTATCTTCTTACTATATATCCTATTACTATTCTATTTTATATAAAATAAAATCCCAACACATATATTTAACAAACACCAATAAATCAAAACTCTCCAACATAAAACTACCCTCTCCTTTCTCAAAATGTCTACAACATATTAAATTGCTCCATTAAAACGATACTATTTATTATTTATTACCCGATCTAATAAATATTACTCTTCAATAAATACCAAAATATCTAAAACCACCTCATATATATTTAGATCTTTCTTTAACTAAAATACTTCATAATTCTACTAAAAACCCACCTACAAAAAAATAAAAAAACTTTTAAAAAGCATAAAATAACTACTACAATTGTTAAAAATAAAATATTAAATCTACACAATACAGTTATACAAAATGCCAATCACAAATAATGAGATTTTCTATTCACTAATCCTACTACTCAACAATATTTTTCTATGATATTTACACCTATATTATTAATCATTTTGACTTTAATAATTCTTTATATCTGTAATTGTTAAATATATCAAAAAATAAATTATATCAATCTTTTATATTACAAAAATTCCACATTAATTATACCTATACCTCAACCCAACCCTAAAACCAAATATAAAAAAATTAAAACTTTAAATTAAAAAAACTTAAATTAAGACTTCCAACTCTCTAAGACACATAATCACTAATTCACCTCTTCTTTCCCTAGATACCTGGCCAGTTCCCTAAAAAAAAAGCAGGGAGGACTTTGTTAAAAAGACCAAATATTCTTAACATCAAAATAAAAAATATGATACATTCCACCCCTCCCAAACCCGTGGCCAGGGCCTAGTTAAAACATAACTACAAACACATTCACCTATTTCACACAAAAAGTTCAAATAATTTTACTACCTTTATCTAAAAAACTATAAAAACAACCCACCTAACCCAGACTACTACTACTATCTTACGCCCAAAATTAAAACCTGTAGCCAAAGGGATTACTAAAGAGACCCATACTATATTACAAATAATAAACCTAATTCCTACAACATTCCAATATTATTACCAAAAAGCCTAAAAATAATTTCCCAGATAGAATCCCTCTTACTATTAAAAAACTCTCTTTCTTTATCCTCTGCATTCTTACTTTTATTTTGTATATACACATATCCTTCAATAAACTTTCCCTTTTATACTTATTTAAGACTGATAAACATTCTTTTAACAAATCAAACCAAATTAATTAAAAAACCATACACGACAAAAGACAATAAATAAAATTTATCCTAACAGTTGCCCACCCACTTCACTTCTCAAAGGCATTTACGGGGCAGAGCCACAAGGTGAGGCAGGAAGAAAGTGGGACAAAACTATAAGATCCAGTGGAAAAACCCAAGGTGGGCATGAGGTGGGACAAAACCATGATCAGCCAATAAGATTGCAAGTACAGTTGCCCAGGTAATATTGATTAAATGGAGATCAAATAGGTAAGCTAGTAACATAGCAAGCTTACTTGGATTTCTGGGAAGGAATGGGCTAGCTAGGAATGTTTTGTTCCCCAATTAAGGCGATTGATGTCTATTTAGAATATCAGTCAGTGCTATTTATCCCCAGGCAAAATGTGTGAGTGTGGTAGTTTCTCTCTTTTTAATATTAACTTCTGTGAATGTGCCTTAGTTGTTTTCTATGCTTAGGGCTCTAACTCATCTGTGTGCAATATTATGACAGGGTTCTTATTTACTTTTTAATCACTATAGTCATTTTATTTACTAATATTGAACTACTTTTCATTTTCTACTTGGATTTTTAGCTATTAGATATTCTCATTTAGACAATTTTGATTGGTAGTACATTTTTAAATCTCAGAATATTTTTGTGTTACTTCTATTTACTTATCTCTATTACTACTTTAAACTCTTAAGAGGAAAAGAAATCTTCCTTAAAAATGTAAACTATGCTAGCAAATGCTGTCTTAGAAAATTGCAGAGACTTGCCATGCACTTGGATTCATTTTCTGCCCATATTTTGCCATCTGTGATGTGAACCATTTTTTAACCCATCAAGTCTTATAAAAGTGTAATTTGAAGTCATCTTGAAATAACTCCAATAACTTGTAATTTGTATTGTTTATATAAAATTATAGACTGTTTCAAAAATATCAATATTTAGAATATTAATTATAATTTTCAATATACAAATTTTCCGTATTTGAGACAGAGCCTCACCATTCAGTCTGAGCTGGTCTTGAACTCACTGTGTAGCTCATGCTGGCCTCAAACTCACTTTGATCCAGAGTGCTGGAATTAGAGTCATGCATCACCACACCCAGCCTTGCAATATAACAATTTAAAATTTAACCGTGTGTTACATTTTGTGTACATCTGTCATGAATCTTTTTCTTTGGATTTGTGAAGCTACCTGGGAGAAAAGAATGATGCATGCAGTTTATATGATGTGGATCTTTTCTTTTCTTTTTTTTTTCCTTTTCTTTCTTTTTGGAGACAGGGTCTCACTGGGTAATTCAGGCTAGTCTTGAAATCACTATGTAGCCCAGGCTGACCTCAAACTCCTGGCCATCCCCTCCTGCCCCAGCCTCCCAAATGCTGGGATTACAGGCATTCACCACCACACCTAGCACAATATGGTTCTTAGTACAGGGTTACAAAGACATGAATATTGAATGAATATCATTTGGTAGAGAAAAGTACCTTTATTGCACAAAGTATTTTCAAAATAGTAATTATTTGTTTTCTGGAAATAGAAGAGGATATTTGTAGAAAATATATTGAGATATATAGAGTTGTTGATAAGTAGATTGCTAATTTTTGATATTGTATGTTTTTTGTTTTAGCTTATTTATTTTAGGCAAGGACATGAAGCTTATGTACGGGCTGTAAGAAAGTCAAAAATATATAGCGTTAATTTACAAAAACAGCCATGGAATAAAATGGATCTCAGGGTAAGTTTACCAAATTCATAAGCTGTGCAATTATTGCAGCTTTGAGGTTATTTTACTCATAAGCTTTATATTATTTTCATACATATTTAACTGTTATGTATCTGAAATAAAACTTTATATAATACTCTTGTAGAAGTTGCTCTTATGAGTTGCATAATATATGTTACTTGAAATTTGTATACTGTCTCTTGTCTTTGTGATTTGACTAATTTCTCTAAAGCTTTATATCCTCTAGTTTATACCATTCCACTTCCAGAGCAAAGCAGGAGTTCCCTAGTGTAGATATTTTCCTTGTTTGTACATTCTGGAAACTAAGTAAGTGATAAAGTATGTGGATTAAAAGGCTTCTCAAGGTTCTGGAAGCTTTGGGATATATTAAATACCTTAAATCACAAGAAGCTTACAAACTTGTGGTGTTTTTGGAACGTGTCTTTTGATGTAGTATCCATATAGCTGCTTATACTGAATAACACATATACGTCAATTTAACACTGAAGCATTTTCTTTTTCTTTCTTTTTAGTTTTTGGTACTGGGGATTGAACTCGGGTCCTTGTGCTTGCAAGGCAGGCCACTGAACCGCTGAGCTAAATCCCCAGCCCCAACATTGAAGCATTTTCTGCCAATAAGTAGATATCCACCCCTCTATTCATGTATATTTAAATACATACCCTACATACATACATTCATGTGTTTATGTACATAATACCATTATTTCTTCTTAAGTTTAATATGTCTTTTTTTTTAAAGTTCAGCGTATAAGAGACTAGAGTAATTTGGCCAGGGTTTTCTATGTAAATGAAGGGTTTTGTGTGATGATGTTTAGCAAGAAGGATACAAGAAATAATCTACATAATAACTGATAATAAAGATTTATTAAAACACTTATAGGACCTGCATGGCAAGACCAAGGTCCTGAGTTTGATCCCTGGTACCAGGGGAAAAAAACTGTAGGAAAAATGCATTAGTATTATAAAGTGCTAAAATGTCTTATGGAAGGAACTTAATATAATTAGGTAGCTTCTAGTATAAAGGGATAAAAACCATCTGTTATGAATCAGGTAAAAATTAAGTTATTTTTCAGAATCAAGGGAATAAAGTATGTAATTTTAAATTTTTATTCCTAGCTTTGTGTTTCTAGGAAATTGTGAGAGGTACAGTAGCCTATGCCTGCCTACAATATCCTATGCTTGCCATCTCTTAAGTGTGACTAACAATCAGTTCATGTGCAAGGTTGTTGTAACATGATATTGGAGGCATTCCAAGATAAGACATACATGTGCATCATATATATTTGTATGCTCACATAATATACTTCTCATAGGAGTGTGCCTTTTGACTAGACACAAACACATAATTCCTTGTTTTTGTTTTAAGAATATATGACCTAAGGCCGAGGATTTAGCTCAGTGGTTCCACCGCCTCATAAGTACAAGGACCCAAGTTCAATCCCTGGTACCCCCAAAAAATAAATAAATAAAAAACAATATATGATCTATCTATACCCCAGGCCTATAGAATTCGATTTTGTAAGAGTAGATACATTGATAATGAAAAATTGCCTAGGGTATTCTGCTACTTGTCCTTGGTTTAGAACCCTTCCTCCTAAAAGAACCTTCTATTAGCGTTAAAACCTATATCTTAGTTACTTTTCTTATTGTTGAGACAAAATACTGGACATCCAAAGTTAAAGGAGGAAAGACAAGCAGAAGACAGCAAAAATAAGGGACCTTAACAGCATCTGTTGGTCCCCTTTATCTTATCCAGACTACTTAGGGTAGCACTCACACCCTTAATCCTAGTGCTGCTAGCCTAGTATTACACCATGAATCAATCCCAGCATCACACACTCTAGATCCAAGAACCTCTGCAAAAGCTCCAACAAGGACTACATGAGACTTTTGGGAGACATCTAAACACAAGCCATAACATTCCACCTCTGACCTCCCAAAAGCCTTATGCGGTCATAATAGGGCTTTTTCAGAAGCAGCTGGATCTAGAGTGTGTGATGCTGGAACTGATTCATGGTGCAGTGCTAGGTTCAAGGGTACTAAGATTAAGGATATCAGTTCTACCCACCCTACATAGTCTGGATAAAATAAAGGGGCATAAAGGTGCTGTTAAGGTCCCTTGTTGCTTTTGCTGTCTTCTACTTCCATGAACTGGTTCTCCTCTGCATTGTCCCTCTGCCAAGCCACCCTGCCTTGGAGCCAGCCCATTATGGACTGAAACCTCTACAGATGTGAACTAAATAAAGCCTTCCCCCTTTAATATTAAGTGTCCAATATTTTGTCTCAGCAACAAGAGAAAAGTAACTTTAAACACAAGCCATAAAAACCTATGTCTTTTATCTTTAATGCTCAGTCTAGTGTCTAGCATTTGATAAATATTAGCATAATTCTTAAAATTTTCAAGTAATAATGACATATGTGAACAGTAGGTAGTTATTCACATTGCAAATAGTGATTTATTGGTATTTTCATGAATAGGAACAAGAATTCGTTAAGATTGTAGGAATCAAATACGAGGTTGGACCACCTACACTATGTTGCTTGAAGCTTGCATTTCTGGATCCCATTTCAGGCAAAATGACTGGAGAGTCTTTTTCCATTAAGTAAGTAGTTATTTCTGTGTGTGTGTGTGTGTGTGTGTGTGTGTGTGCCCATTGTATATTCTGCAAAGTATAAGACTCAGGGAGGGAGGGAGAAAACACAACAGCAGAACTACAGGGTTTAGGGTCAGAAGACCAAATTAATTCTTGTTTTGTTTCCCCATTTAATAGCTATACATACGATATGAATGGGTGGATGGATGGATGGATGTGTGAGTGGTTGCTGGATTGATTCATGAACAAGTTTACTCAATTTCATATAAAATGAAAAAGCAAATATGTGAATATTTCCTCAGGTTTATTGTAATGAATCAAAAACATACACAAGTTACCAACAGTATGATTGAAATATGGTAGTTAGTCTTATTTCTATTAAGAAAATAAAGTGGGCTGGGGATTTAGCTCAATGATGCTGTTGCCTACCTTGCTAGCACATTGTTCTGAGTTCATTCTCCAGTACTGCAATAAATAAAATAAATAAATAAACAAACAAACCTATGGCTTGTTTCATAAAGTTGAATTTAAAATCTAAGATGAAAGGACACATCATTTATTTTCTAGGCTTTAGAAACCTTTACTGGCTTCTGGGTAAAGTGGTACATGCCTGTAAACCCAGAAGAAGGAGGAATTGAGGCAGAAGGATCAGAAGTTCAAGACAACTGATTTAGCAAGTTCCTGTCTCAAAAAAGCAAAAAGAAAAAAACTTTATTGTTATATTTATATTACTAAATAGATATAGTAGTAGGCAGGTACTCCTCAATAGATCAGACCAGATAGAATTTATGTGAAGACTTTTTGAGGGACTGTGAGGTTTGTAATAGTTTGTTCCATGAACTCCACATTCAACATATGTCATTGGATATTTAGTAAATATCAAGTATTGTTATATCTCTCAATTGATTTTCATTTATTTTTTGTACAGGTATCATGACATGCCAGATGTCATTGATTTCCTTGTGCTACATCAGTTTTATAATGAAGCCAAAGAAAGGAACTGGCAAATTGGTAAGTATAGAATTATCATTTAATAACAATTAAACTAGAAGTAAGTAATGTTTTAACTCTGATTCAACAGTAACTATTGTAACATTTAACCAGCCAAAGCTGTTGGTGAAGCTACAAAAATTAAAATTTGCTTTTCAGTTACATTTATATGATTTTTATGCAAATTTTGTGGACTATAGAACAGTTCCTCTTTATTGTGAAGTTCATTTTCCATAGTTTTACTTGCCTATCTTTAGATGGAGTTAGAAAATATAAAATGTAAAATTGCAAAAGTAAACAATTCAACAATTATAAATTTCATGTTCTTCTGAATAATATAATGACATCGTGCACCATCATACTCCATCCTACTAGCGATGTGAATCATTCCTCTGTCCAGTGTGTCCATGCTACACTTCCTGCCTGTTAGTCACTTAGCTATGTGGTCAACTCTCTTGAGTATCACAGTACTTGTGTTCAGGTAACCCTTATGTAGTTGCCTAAAGACTATGACACAGCATCCAGATATTTTACCTCACTTCATCTCATCATTAGACACTACATCATCTCATGTCATCACAAGAATAAGAATGAGTATAGTAAAATATATTTTGAGAGGTCATACTCACATAAATTTTATTAGAGTATAGTTTATAATTGTTCTGTTTTATTATTGGTTGTTTTTGCTAGTTTCTGTGTCTAATTCATTAATTAAACTTTATCATAGCTATGTGTGTATGGGAAAAATTAGTAAGTAGAGCAGGTTCTCTGTATCCTTGGTTTCTGCATGTATGGATCAAGCCAAACATGAATCAGAAATATTTTAAAAATTGCATCTGTTATTAAACATTTAAACTTTTTTCAGTTTCTTAAATAATATAGTATAACAAATGTTAACATCATTCATATTTTATTATATATTAGAAATTATTTAAAATATACAGAAAGATGTGCATTAGTTATATCCAAATACTATGCTATTTTGGACTTTAGCATCCTTATTTTGGAGTATTTGTGGTTCACCAATACCAATGAATGACTGTGTAGTGTTCAATGCAGTACTGTCTGCAGTTTCAGGCATTCACTGCAGATATTGGGGAATATTCCCCAGGGATAACGGGAGACTACTGTAATCTCTGAGCCTACTACACATACTTACTTTTTTAGTAAAGAAATCTGAATTGAAAAATTCTCAAATTTTGGTTGATCTTTGGAGTACTTTATACTTGGGTCATAAACATACCACTGTAGATTCTGCCTGCCTGCCTGCCTTTTTTCCTTGTTCCTTCCTTTCCCCATCCTTCTTCTGCCCTCTGCCTCTTATTTCTCTGTATCTCTCTTTTTTTTTTCTTTCTCTGATTAGGAACGGCAGAATAATGATCATTTAACCGTAGCAAAGCCATAATTTTGGAAGAATAGGTCTGCTCAGTCTGACGTGAAGATCTTGCTCTGTCGCATACTAGTATTTGATCTTGGCAAATTTTTAACTTCTCAGTATTTACTCCCTTTATCTTGAAAATGGAAATCACATTAGTATATGTGTAGAGTTGATGTGAACAAAATGTCAGTAATTTGTATGAAGTCCTTATATACCTGATAGGTATTAAACTCTATGTAGGTGTTGCTCATTAGTATTTTTAAATTCTCTGATGTATAAGATATTTTTATTCATAATGATTTTGATTTGTAATCCTTAGCTATTTAAAGGCAGAACATTAGTACAGATTAAAAGTCTCTAGTCAAAACTCCAAATCCCAAAACATTCTGAGCAACATGAGGCATTTCATATTTCAGGTTTTTGGGTAAGGGATATTTAACTGGTAACATAAATGCAAATATTCCAAAATCTGGAAACTCCAAACTTATAAATATTTCTGGCCCCAGACATTTCAGATAAAGCATACTCAGCTTGTCAAAAAATATTTTTAAAGGAAAAGAAACTAAAAGAAAGAAACACATATTAACATACATGCTATATAGTAAGGAGTATGCTTCATGATAATCCCAAATAATTGATAGAATTTAATGGTATATTTATTAAAGAAGACATGAACATACATATTTTATTTTGAGAAGATTTCTACCACTTGGAAATCAAAATACTTGAAGAGGGTAAATGTAAAATTTACTTATAAAGTAAACTCAGATTGAAACATCTGATAAAGATAGATATAGTGTTAGTTTTTGCCTTCAAGTAATTTAGAGTGGAAACAGAGCTGACATTCTCAAGAGCACCTTTTTAAGAATTTTTAACAATGTTACAGGTGATAAATTCCGCAGTATAATTGATGATGCCTGGTGGTTTGGAACTGTGGAGAGTCAGCAGCCTTTTCAACCAGAATATCCTGATAGTTCTTTCCAGTGTTACAGTGTTCAGTAAGTAAAGTTATGGTCTTTTATGCTTTATGGAATACTATAGTGTTATATGACTTCTGCATAAACCTTACCAGGAATAATAATTTTTATCTGTTACTAGTCTTATAATACATATACCTGGAAGGAAGTAATCATAGTACCTATTGGAATAAATTTGATGGTAAACAAAAACTGAACACATTTCTACCTCCTTTATTATCTACATTTTCTCTTAAGTATTTCTGTTTTAAATAATAATTAAAATTATATTTTCATGAAAGATACTGAAATAAATTTAATCTTTAAAGCAATTTTAAAAATCTGGAATATAGCAGTTAATAGTCTTTTGTAATGATATGAATTCTACACAGAAGTGACTGTTTTATATTTTGAGGTCTTATTTTTATTATATTTACTTCAATTCTTCTTGAAATCCCATAGTCGTAAAGTTCCTTATAATCGAAGCTCCTTAAAAATGAAACAAAAATGTTTATTCTGTGAAGATTGAGTTTTTAAAGTCTCCATATTGTAGATCACAAGGAATAATAACATTTTGGAAATACTTTAATACTTAATCTGTTAGGCCAAAAGTAGATTGAGAATTGATAAGTTAAGTAAATTCTTTTCACCTAAAAGATACTTTCCAAACTATATTGTTGTCTCCCTAGCTCAATACTGAATATATGGTTGTTTGGAACAAGAACAACAACAAAAAAACTAGTAAGATTAGATTTACTACCTATAAATTTCATATTGGTGGTCCATGTTTCCTCTGTAGGTAGTTTTATATTAGTTTTACATAAGCAAAGTTGTACTTTATTGAATGCTATATTGTCACCTTCCAAATTTCACTCTGAGGAAGTCGTGCAAATTATGTTAGAATCTGAAAAAAATGATTGTGAATTTGATTTCCATCTTGTTTTTTAATAGCTGGGACAATAATGAGAGAGAAAAGATGAGCCCCTGGGATATGGAACCAATTCCGGAAGGAAGTAAATATGCATTTTAAAATGAATTATAATTATTTTACAAGTAAAATAATATAATTTTGCAAACTAATTATTTATACATTTTTATCTTATACCTAGCTGCCTTTCCAGATGAAGTTGGTGCAGGTGTTCCTGTGTCTCAGGAGGAACTGACTGCTTTGCTATATAAACCCCAGGAAGGAGAATGGGGGGCTCATTCCAGAGATGAGGAATGTGAACGAGTTATTCAGGGCATCAACCACCTTCTTTCTCTGGGTATGATCAATGTGAAATCATACTAGGATAACAAATGGGAGCTAGGAAAACAAGGATAATTTTAAAGTTCTGCAAGAGGGAATACAGTTTATCACTGTATACTTCATTTTCAATTCAAGAGGCTTAGTGATTCCAGTTTTAATATTAACATTTTTATATGGCTGGGCAAAGCAATAACTGATGAATTGTCAGCACTCAGGGAGGAATGGTTAACAGTGAAGGAAGGCCTGCAAGCATCTTTAGTTTTTGAGTCATTTGGCTCGCTAGCTGTTTCCTGAGCCTGACTTGCATTGGTCCCTTGGTAAAGAAAGTGGGTGAGTAATAATATTTCACCCACATGAATAGTTATATTTTCTAAAATGTATTGCTTGAGAAGTTTGGAAGTTGTTTAGAGAAAACATAGAATTTTGAAGATAAATACACTGCTTGTTTTTTTTTAATTACCTGATTTGAACCAATTTATCATGCATGATACAGATATCATGTCCTAATAAAACGAATAACCTTATATTTGCATAAGAGTATCATTATTGTTTCAGAAATGTAGCCTATCAACCCTGCTTTCTTATTTCAAAGGGAATTTTCATTAACAGAAATTGTTAGTGTCTTCTTTAACTACTTTTTTGATCTTGGTAATTTTGTAGATTTTGCCAGCCCCTTTGCTGTTCCAGTGGATCTCAGTGCCTACCCCTTATATTGTACTGTAGTTGCTTATCCAACTGACCTCAATACCATCAGGCGGAGACTTGAAAATCGATTTTACAGGTTTGTTTAGTTTTATCATTTATAAAATGCATAGGTGTGTGGCTCTTGCTTACTTTTTGGTGATCTGTATTTTTATAGTATAAAATGATCATCTACAGACCCACTCATTTCAAGATACCAATTCTCTTTATTCAGTAGATTCTCAGGATAAGAAAGGTATAGGAGAAAGAGGAAAATATGGATAGCACACACCAGTTGTGTGTAATATGAAAGTACAATTAACTTCTCTTTATTAAACACAATTAGAATTTAGAAATGGGAAGAAAGGAGCTAAAGGTGTAGCGAAGGTGGGATGGGTAGGGGAAGGGTAATAAGGGAAAAGAAAAAAATGTGAGATAATGAAAAGATGAAAATAAAGTGTTTGTAGATGGGGAGGGGAGGAGGGGGTGAAGGGAGGGCAGGGGTAAGGGGAAAAAATGAGAATCAAGACTTGTCATGTACAGGTACAAGATCCCAAAAATGAATGTAACTGTACTGTATCCCTAAAATGTACCAATAAACTCAATTAAAGCTGAAAAAAAACACAATTAGAGTGGTTTATGGATTCTAGGATGCTACAGAAACATGGAGCATGTTTAAATCCTCTTTGACAAATTAAGTAGCAGTTAATTAGATTTAATTGCAGCCTTGAAATAAATAAATACATTTATGCAAAGGACCAAGTTAGTTTTTTCATGGTTTCAGTTGAGAGAAGGATGATTATAGAAGGGCTTTGAGGGCCAGTTCTTGGTCTCTTTCTTATCCAACTCTTCCACCAGAACTATAGTATTCCATGAACTGATGAGTCTGCTTCTTATAATTGAAAGTTAAATGTATTTGTATAACATATATTATTTAATTTAGTAAAATATGTTGTAACTAGGTAAAAAATACTGTCATTTTCTACAGTGTGGCTTTTTCTTTTTTTTTCAGCTTTAATTGAGTTTATTGGTACATTTTAGGGATACAGTACAGTTACATTCATTGTTGGGATCTTGGCTTTTTCTTTTAATCTTCATGACTTTTTCCCAGAAAATTAAATGTTATTTTAACTTTATCAAATATTTTTTATTGTTTTTGTCAAATTACTCTACCTCAGTGTTCTTAGCTCTGTTCCAAGTTGTATTAGGCAATCTAGTTGTTCAAAATTCTTCCCTGTGTTTAAAATCCTGAAACTAAATCATCCCTTTTTGCATACAGTAGTCATACCTATATTTTGAGTCGTATTCTTATATTGGAACACCTTTGACATATCATGGTTAAGTGCCTAGTTATTCTATATTATATGTTTCTAGAATATAATTTAAATGTATCAACCAAGTCTAAGAGAATATTTTTTTTCCATAGGAGAATATCAGCTTTAATGTGGGAGGTACGCTACATTGAACATAATGCTAGGACTTTCAATGAGCCAGACAGTCCTATAGTTAAAGCAGCCAAAATTGTAACTGACGTCTTACTTCGATTTATTGGGTAAGAAGCACTTTTCTGTTTCAGTGAGACTAATTTCTGATTTTTAAAGAATAAATTTAAATATATTTGGACATATTTTGTTTCTTAGGGATCAAAGTTGTACTGATATACTCGATACTTACAATAAAATTAAAGCAGAAGAACTAAACAGTACAGATGCAGAAGAGGTAAGAGTCAGCACAATAAATAAGAATGTATTTCTTGTTTGTTTGAAATATGGTAGGTGCTACATGTAAATGTTCCAATTGATCATGAGCAGTGAAAGACTGTAGGATGCTGGCTGAACATTTGCATCTTCTTATATTAAATTCTTTGATCTCTGCTCAGATGAAATATACAAGAAATATAATAGTACTATAGGGTTTTGTTAGGGAGAGGTGGCCAGACATCCTATGTGACTTAGTGACTTTCAGTGACAAGATATCAATACTTTATTTTCCATCCCTTAAAATATAAGACAAAACACTCGATATTTTAAAAGGAGAATTTCATAGGTTAGGATACTAAGTAAGCATATCAATATAAATTTTTTAAAAAAGATGTAAACTTAAGCAGATACCAATTACTACACCTTGTCTATTTTCTATTGTAATTTAAAGCAAAACTTTGTTTAGTTCTTTTTTTCTAGTATATTTTCTAATTTGTACGTAGTATATTGGCAGAGGTCTCTCTCCAGCCTTTGTTCTGCTATTAGCTCCAGTGAAAGAAAGTTACTCATGATTATGTTTCCTGTTTTCTTGTAAATGTCCATCTAATTCATAAGACTTTTAATGTAACTTAACATCTTCTTCCACTCTCTTCTTTTAATTTAGGATACAGAAATTATTGACTTAGATTCAGATGGTCCTGGTACATCATCTGGTAGAAGGGTAAGTAAATAAGTGAACTCCTGAGAAGAAACACTTTCAGTCCTCCTGCATCAAGGATCCCAAAAACCAGACTACCTATTTGGAATTGTAGTTGAACTCTATGGTATGGCTGACTACTGATGTCAAAGATTTATTACAGCAAGGCTATAAGAATATACAGCTGAGTCACAGGGGAAAAGACTCATGCAAAATCTGGGGGAATCATGTTCAGGTTTTCTATGTCTCCTCTTTCTTATAAGGGACCACACAGTGTACTCTCCTGCCAGCAATGAAAATGGAGCAACATGTGTGTGATTAGAGATTCAGTACCTAAGAATTTTGTTAGGGACTGGTTATGTAGGCACTCTGTTCTTAGCATATACAAGGACTCCAGATTCCTATTAAGAAAGCAGGTATTCAGCCTAAATCACATTGCTTGTGCTATCTTGACACAGTAAATCGCCTTCATAATTTAGGAAACAGTTCTAGTGCCATGTTTCCAAATGCCAACCATGGATCAATCTTTTAAGTGATGCTATGCTGAAGATAACAGCCTGTTGTGTTAAATCTTTGCTGCATATTTCCACTCTATCATAATTAGAGATACAGTTCTATAAAATTTAAAATATCTTTTGAAATACTTACTGAAAAGGTTCATAACAAAAAGACATTGAATGGTAAAAACTAGAATTTATTATAGCCAGAAAATATTTATTAAAAAATTGTTTGAGTGGGCCATGGATTTAGCTCAGTGGCACTGTGCGTGCCTCACAAGAGCAAGGTCCAGAATTTAATCCCCATTACCCCCCAAAAAACAAAAAATTTTTGAGCATTATTTTGAGAAAATTATGGTACCCGTGTCAAGTGAATTTATTACTAGCAGCTATTAAGGCAATAGATCTGTTAACTTACTTTGTAGATGAAAAGCTATTTGGCTCTTTGTACTTTTTGTGTTCAGATTTTCTTAAAATCAAGATTTAGAATGCTTGAATTCTTGCCATCTCCATGAATATAATGTCCCTTTTATTGTTTGTTTAATTTTTGCCATGGAGAATGATGTTTAATTTTAACTAAAACTTAAATTGCAGCTTAGCTAAACCAACATAAATATTTTAACATTAGATATGTGTGGGAAAGTCTACAAAGAATTAAAGAAAAACCTTGTACATATAATCCTATTAAAATCTATAGGTCAAATGCCGAGGCAGAAGACAGTCTGTAAGGTGTAATCCTGATGCTTGGAAAAAACAGTGCAAAGAACTATTGAGCCTCATTTATGAACGGGAAGATTCAGAGCCATTTCGACAACCTGCAGATTCCGTTTCTTACTCAGTAAGCATACTCTTGTTTAAATAATAGCCAACATGATAACTTCTCATAAGTGTCCATGCTAATATCCAGTTAAGGGGGTACTTTTTCCTTTCCTTCCTTCCTTGAGTATCTCTGAATTGTTAAAGTGAGTAATATGATTAGTTATGACTTTAAAATGCCTGGCATGTATTCATTTTGTAAATTACACAGTTGTAAACTAAATTGAATCAAAATGATTTGCTACTCCTTCCTGCTTTTATTTCAGATATTTACTTAAGACAATTTACTAGTTTCTAATACATTTTTATATAATGAAGATTGTTGATATGTATCAGTACTAATGAATTGATCCTACTACATATATTACAAATTTTTTCACTTAGAGTAACCAATATATTAATATTACGTTTCAAAAAAGGTAAAAACATGAGAACTTTTCTAAGAAATGGAATTACTGTACATGTCGAATTACTATTTAGATATCAAATCTGTTCTTTTTCAGAGAAAAGGAACAGCAGTGTTTCAGAAATACATAAGGCCATGTTTTCAACTTAGTGCACATCTGTATGTTTCTCTGTATTCATAGATTTCAGTATGGAAATAATATTTACATAAACAATAGTCAATAGCTTTATTTGTAGGAAATTTGAGTACAATAAATTTATCTAGTGTTTTTCATAGTAAAGAAGAATTGTGAATACTAAACTTATTCACCTAAATATACGACAAACTAAGTATGATTTCTGTTTGTGAATCTTTGACCCTTAAACCAGTGCTGTATTGCAAGTCATGATATTTTGTGATAGTGGTCTGAAAAAACAATACATGCTTTTTACCCAAATAGGCCCATCAAGAACAAGAGGGAGAATCCTCAGAACTCACTGTTCCAGAAAGACAACACGATCCATCTGTTTCTGAGGTAGCCCATAGTCGTCTCTTAAAAGACATATTTTGTTTTTTGTTTTTTATTTTACTTTTAAAAAATCCATGTTTGTACACAAATCTTTCATAGCTTGTTCAAACTCTTTTTACTTGGTTTTTAATCATTGTTCTATTTTTGGTCCTTTTTTTCCTCCTTTTAAATCAGCTTGTTCTCAAGATTGCTCCTTGTAGCATCCATTTAAATTTAATATGTAAAAATGAAGCTACTATTGCAAAGCAGAAAATATCAATCACATGGTATGACTATGTTTGCATTGCAGCTGTTTATTCCAAGTAAGTCTCATTCAGCAGGCAGGCTGAATCTTTTGAGTATCAGTAATATTACACAAGTTCCAGTATTTTTCCTGTCTGAAAATATTAGTGTTTCATAAGCCATACTGTGTTGGAATACCCTTATTTTTGTGCTTTAAGAAAATACAAAGAATATGTAGGGCAAACATGGCCAATTTGACTTTAAATCTCAACTAATGACAATTTAAGTAGAATCTCCTCATTCCTACAAAGCTGTAAAGTACTGTAGCTAATTTGTGAAGTGCAGTTACTTAATTCCTCCTGAATAATCTCATCTTCTACTATCATTAACACAATTTGCTAGCATGTTAGAAGAAACTTCAGCCTTTAAGCAAGAAATGGAATGCCACATTATAGACTATAGAAATGAAGCCAGTGACTGGATTTTCTATTCTTTCTCTTCAGAGTTATTTATGGTTATTGAGTACAGTGTAAAGGCTAAGCCTCTCCCATAGGTCTCTTTTCAGAAACCATCAAAAGATGATTTGGGGTGGGAGAAAGTAGTTGGAAGATTGGAAAGCAATATGTTTATTTCATATCAGAAGGCAATGCAAATCTCAGTTCCATTATATTATTTAGTATTGTTTACAGTTTAAGAATTTATATATAACACATTATTCTTTCTAGGATCACCAAAGTGTTATAGAAACACGTATGGACTTCAGCACTGTGAAAGAAATTTTGGAAGCAGGAAACTATGTCAGTCCTCTAGAGTTTTGTAAGGATGTTCGCCAAATATTCAGCAACTCCAAAGCTTATACCTCTAATAAGAAATCAAGGGTATGTGAAACAATGTTAAGTGGTTTAATTATCTAACTGTGTAACCGTGTATTGGGCATTTTTCTTTGAACAGTTTTAAAATTGCTAAGCAAATATATACTACAGATCTAACATAGATAGTTACTGATGTTTTGCTTTTAGTATCTTCTCTGGAATGTAGATTATTAGGCATGCATGAAGATACATGTAACATAATCATTCTGAAATTAAGTAGCTTTTTCTCTTCTTCCTCTGCTTTACTTTTTAGTAATATTTGGATCTGCCAGAGAAAAGACAACGAAAGAAGGGGGAATAATTTAACTACCTTTTAATATGGCTAAAAATGACTTGATAAATATAAAGGTAGTTGATAGTATTATATCAAATATTTTGATTAGCTCTGAATATTTATGTTCAATTTATTATAACAGATAGTGAAACATATTGGAAATCATAATTGTTTATTCTTCTTCACATTTAATATTTTTGGTATGTTTCATCAAAATAATCTTGAGAGCAAAAAACTAATAATTTTTGTCTTTTGGAATCACTGATGTCTAACTTTTAAATCAATGGCAAAGTAGGTATGTGTTTGCCTATTTCACCCTCATATAAAATGAATTTTCACTAATTTATACAGGCATAATTTTTCTACATTTACGTTACTTCATCAGTCATGATTGTTAGAATGACATATATTTTCTATAGAAAGTTTGGGAAATAGATGTATAAAGAAGAAAACCCATATAAAGCCCATCACTTTATTTATACTTCTCATTTAATTTTTTTTTTTTTTTGTACTGGGGATTGAACTCAGGACCTTGTGCATGCGAGGCAGTTGGTAGAACCACTGAGCTAAATCCCCGTCCCCCATGTAATGTTTATACTTCCAGAACTTTCTATATTACCTATATATTTGCATATACTCATATATTCTGTACAATAGCAGGTTGCATATTATAAGGCCTTTTTTCTTACTTCTTATGACTGTGAAAGTTGTCTTTGATGGCATCTTATTACATGGTTATCTTGTTATTTAACCAATCACTTGATACTAGAGATTTAGGTTTCTTTCTAATTTTGCACTTTATGTGAATAGTGGCTATGGTCCAGGCGTGTTCTACTTTTATATTTTATATACAGTAGTTGATAAAACAACATTGCAATTTCTTTTTCAGCTCTATGGCATGACACTGCGATTATCTGCCTTATTTGAAAATCATATTAAAAATATAATTTCTGAGTATAAGTCAGCAATCCAGAATCAGAAGAGGAGAAGGCCACGGTACAGAAAACGTCTAAGAAGCAGCAGCAGTTCATTATCTAGTAGCAGAGATCCTAGGTATATTATACTGTTTTTGTTTTGAAAATATTCTCTGTGTACTACTTCATTTATTGAAGTTTAGATAATAGTTTAAGAAAATTTCAGGAGATTTTTCCCCCCTAAGAACTATGGTCCCTGTTTAAAAATAGAGTTAGTAACCAAAAGCACTATTTATGTGAATTTTACTGCCATGAAACCTGTTTTTGATTTGAAGTTTTATCTTTGTCAAATTATCAATTTAAAAAGCATTTCACTTGAATTTGAAGCATTACACAAAAATTTTTCTTTTAGTCAATTTAAGTATTTTGTATATACTGTCTGTTGTAATGTGTTACAGAAAAATATGCTCATCATTACATATTTTTACTTATAGTCCAAAAGGGAAACAGAAACAAATGAAGTTGCAGCCTAAAAATGACCAGAATACCTCAGTGTCTTATGCTAGGAATAGTTCTCCTTTTTCATCTCCTGGTAAATATGTCTTTTTATTGTTGTTCTTTATCTGTTTAATATTGACAGACTGTAGAAGAGGTAGTATGGTTTGTAATAAAAAGAGAATACATCTAGATTTAGAAAAACTTGTATTTTATTCCCATTTCTCAATGCTACTTGTGTGGCCCTGGGTAAGACACATGATCTAGTTTCTTTTTTAGACTTACTTTGAAAATTCCTCATGTGAATTTTTTTAATGTCTATAATATCTCAGAGCCCTCATCTATAATGTATTTGCCAACATTAGACTTGTGGGATCCTTCTTGGAGCATCTTGTTTAAAGTAAAATAACTGAGATATAGTTTCAAAAGCAGCTTGTTTAACTTTCTTAACAACATAGAATTATTTTAACATTACAACCTTCTAAAATGCAAGTTTCAGATGCTGCTGAAGGAATTTCACAATATCTCCTTGATGATGAAGTGGATGGGCCATTTTCTTCATCAAGCTTCAGTGGATATAGCCAAAGTGGAAATACCCATGACCCAGGGAAAGCCAAATCATTTCGGAATAGAATTTTACCAGTTAAACAAGGTAGGAAGTAAATATAGAACAGGCCATTTATACTTTATTTTCTAATGGTGGAAGAGGAATCATTAAAAACTGATGTAGTATTAGATATTAGATAAGTAAAAATTAGTGTGTCCTTACAGTTAATGAGAAGTATAACATTGCCATATCTGAGTTAGATAGGAGGGAATGGGACATTAGCAGATTTCCGGTAAGTATTTTGAAACATATTTTAGGCTTTTAAATAAAATATAAAATGAAATGAATAGGAAGAAAAAACTGGATGAGGAATCCTTTCCTCAATCACACAAGAACCATACTGTTAGACATATTTAGGATTTTTTGTATGTTAAACCATATTAATGAGAAAGGAAAAGGTTTTTAAAGTTATCTTTAAATAGGTCTTAAATATTTTGTGGGCTACTCTGTTTGAAAAATGGGGCTGGGATGAGAAATGATCCATCATTTAGTCACCACTTCCTCCTTATGGTTTTTCAATTATATAGCTCAGATATTCTCTCCCCTGGGTGCCTGCTGTATCACAAAGTCAATTATTTTCAGACTATCTCCTGCATGTTTCTAAGGGATCTACACAGGTACTTCTGGAATTCTCAGAAGAGCCTTCCTCATTTAACCAGAATAGCCATTTTTTTTTACATATGATCAACTTCCGTTTTTTTTATTTTAATGAAAAAATTTTAGTGCTTGAAAAAAGAAATCACTGAGCTAATTCATTATCATGAGCATCTTTCTTGGACTATGTCAGGGGGGATCAGTTATCAAAAATATTTGAAGGTCACTGTACTAATTCAAAGTATAATTCTTATACTTAATACATGTTATGGACTCGGACCATGTTCACAGAAAGTTCTAGTAAGTTCAACTACTTGAAATTTTTAAAAATAACTTAGATTTACAAATATTTTATTGGAATATAGATTTAATTTTATATACATCTTTAGTGAAGAATCATTAGCTTATCTATTATACAAACATAAAATAACTTAAAAATACTTTCCAAAGTTTTGTTTTTTGTTACTTTTTTTTTTTTTGGTACCAGGGATTGAACTAGGGACCTTGCACTTGTGAGGCAGGCAGTAGAACCACTGAGCTAAATCTCTGGCCCACTAAAGATTTATTTAATATTAGTTATGTAAGAAATATTGAAGCATTTCATTACTTTAAAATAATCTATTTTTCCCAGTTTGTATCTTTACTCTCCCCTTTGATCCTACTGCACTATGCCACTACCTTCTCTCATCTTTCCCTTTCTTTTACTGACAGGCTTTTAGAAAGAATAGCATATACTTCATGCCTCTACTTTCTTTCAGTCCACATATTTCTTTAACCTTTGTAATCTAGCTTCTGCCCCAACCACTCTCCAAAGCTATTCTAATGTTACCAGTACTCAGTAGAGTCCAACTAGTATCCTCTTCTTAGTCCTTATCTTTTTTATCTCTTGCACAATATTGTCTATCTCCTCTATGAACCTTATTTCCTGACTTTTATGCTCTTCTGATATTCTTGGATCTCTGTTTCTTTTATATTTGTTTATTTTCTTTGACCCACCTTGTTCTCTCCTTGCATTTTCCCACTGTTTTAGTCATTTTTATCTTTTACAAGTAAAGCAGTTTACTCTAATGACTATATCAGCTATCTTGGTGCTAATAACTCTACAAATGCATTTGACCAAATCAAACATCACTTAATTCTTTCAGTCTCATTTTCAGTTACTTCTTTAAAAAATTTGTCTAGCTCCTCAAAAAGTAAACAGAATACAAGCAGCAAACTATGTCTGCAGAAATTTTCCCAACTAAAATATTCCCAGCCATATACTCTGTTTTTTTATCCTCTCTATAGCATGTATCAGTACTTGAAGTGGTATTATTTCCTCAGTCCACTTTCTGTCCAGCTTTCCCCACTAAAATATAAATTTCAAGAGCAAGGACTTCATCTTACAGTATTTATTGCCATATTCCTACACTTAGTAGTGCCAGACTCATGGTAGGTAATCTGCAAATATTTGTTGAGTAAATGAATGAAACTGTTAAGAAGAATCATGTTCCCATATAGTTCTTCCTAAAGGTCACTTCTTCAAATTTTTTCCTAGATACCTCACCATGCTTCAGTCTGCCTCTACATTCCCGTGTCTAAAAAAACAGTAAAAAACCAGAACTTCAGTCTCTTACATTTTCAAACAAATTTTTTTAACTTGAACACCTTCTATGATTATGTCCCAATTGTATTAGAGCACTAAATATTTTTGATAGACTATTTATTTTACTTTTGAACTTAATGACCACCTTAATAAAGTCATGGCGTAACTTAAAAATCATTCATTTCAATTTAGATCACTCGCTTGATGGACCTATTACAAATGGTGATGGCAGAGAGCCCCGGACAGGAATCAAGAGAAAACTACTTAGTGCATCGGAAGAAGATGAAAGCATGGGAGGAGAAGAGAAAGAGAATAAAGAAACAAAGGAGAAATCACATTTATCCTCTTCAGAGAGTGGAGGGTTAGGATCCAGTTTAAGTTCAGAAAGTGCTTGTGGTTCTGATTCTGACTCTGAATCAACTTCCAGAACAGATCAAGATTATGTAGATGGAGATCATGACTATAGCAAATTCATACAAACAAGACCAAAAAGAAAACTCAGAAAACAACATGCCAATGGAAAAAGAAACTGGAAGATGAGAGGCACTGGAGGAAGAGGCAGATGGGGAAGATGGGGTAGATGGAGTAGAGGAGGCAGAGGAAGAGGAGGCAGGGGACGAGGGGGGCGAGGAAGAGGTGGAGGTGGCGCAAGAGGAAGAGGAAGAGGGAGAGGAGGAAGAGGTGCCTCTAGAGGAGCCACCAGAGCCAAACGAGCACGTATTACAGATGATGAATTTGATGCCATGTTTTCAGGACGTTTCAGTAGACTGCCTCGAATTAAAACGAGAAACCAAGGCAGGAGGACTGTTTTATATAATGATGATTCTGATAATGACAATTTTGTGTCCACCGAGGATCCTCTGAATCTTGGTACATCCAGATCAGGCAGAGTGCGTAAAATGACAGAAAAAGCCAGGGTTAGCCATCTCATGGGATGGAATTATTAACAATTAATAAATTTAGAATAATTTAAAATTCAATGGCCTTCTACTGCAGGGAATTTACTACCAGGAAATCTACAAAGCAAGTTGTGTGGGGACTTATGCTTCCTTTCACATTGGTGCTTTTCCATTATGCCAGTATATATTTGTTTCAAGACTGATCTCCACACTTCATTTGTTCAAACAAGCCTTACTCATTAGGCCTTAAATTAAAAGAAATTCTGCCCATACACATGCGCGAGCACACAGACAGATAATACACACATACACACATGCGCGCATGCACATACAACACAATCGCACTACAGATTTACTCCATCAAAGGAGCATTCTGCTTCTTAAGAGTAGCATGACATTTTTATCTCAATGGAATATCCTTCTTTTGCTTTTGTATCACAGAAGTATAGCACCTTCTTACAGAGTTTTATATAGTTTGTTTTTGCCATTTTGATTCCTATACCCAGTAATAATAACTTTTGCACAATACACCAATCCTAAAGGCAGCTATTAAATGTTTACAGTTTCTATATTGTGAGAACGATCTGGATTATTTTACTCTTCCCAGGCCAAACTTTCATGAATTGTACTGAACTGAAGTATATATTTATACTACAGTTTTTTTTGGGGGGTGGGGGGATCTTGATATGCTTTTCATTGATTTGCTTAATTCACGTTAAAGGTGAGAAAGGGTTGGTGCCTTGTAAATATGTAGCAAATCTTTGTGGTGTGTCCTGAAGTGTGCATTAACTTTATTAAAAGGGAATACTTGAGATACCGATCTAGACAAGGTGCCAAATGCAAAAGTTTCTTGCATCCGTTTTCTTTTTCTTACTCTGTTTTATTGCATTAGTAGAATTTGTGAGCTTAAAGAAAAATCCTCACCCACAAATAGTAACTTCTTTGAATAGTAGCTCAGCTACCTCTATTAATTACAACTACTGGAAACTAAAGAAAATAGATGCTGTTACTCATTACTAAGGAGAAATAGAACAAGCTTGGGTGGGTAAGAATATTCATAAATTATAAGCTGAGAGGTTGTTAATAATCATATTGGCTTTCAAATTAATAGTTTTAACAAACGTTCCTAAGTATTATATGCTCTACCTTAGACTTTCATAAAAGATATTTGTATAAGTAGACTTGGGCTACTGCTTATATATCTCTGCCACCACATACTGTTTAATAGCCATGAGTTGCATACAGGTTTTAATTTCAATCTTAAAATATAACAGACCATTCACCTTGAGTTGGAATGTTTAGTTTAGGTAATATTTTGAATTAATTTTAGTATGTTTTGCTCTTATCATTCCAAAGGGTTCTTGTAGTCTTTCAGAAAAGAGCCTCATTGCACTGCACACTGATACTTTGAATCATCATTTTATAGGTGAGAAAAATCTGTTAAACCCTTATGGTATTGTTTACAGCAGTAGAGTGCACATGGTTCCATAAGTGAGCTTGAGTTTCAAGATCAATTTTACTCCTCAAATTTGAGGTTACAGACTTTCTAATTTGTTAAATACTTAAATTTTTGAAGTAAGAGGGATAATATTGATCTTTTTTGTAATAGGAAATTTGCTGAACTTAGATCAGGCTTGTGTGATAATACAGACTTCTTAATGTATACTAAGTTATCCCAGGATATTTGTTAATGTGTTTGTCTCATATTTTCAATCATTTTATTCATCTGAAAAACCTTTAAGTGCAGAGGAAGGAGTACACACATAACTTTGCTTTTTTGATAGGGTTTGGGGTCGGGGTTATTCTTAGACTAACATCTTCAAGCAATTTTTACTTGCAGTAGAAATGATGTTCAGGCTTTAAGAAAGTATTGTTGAGAATTGTTAATGGCACTAAGTTCTGTTACTAGATAGTACACCAAGATGGTATTTTCTGTTGTACTCTTTTTTTTTTCGTTAAACCAAAACTACTCAACTGCCATTTTTAACCATACTATAGATTCTATGCCTATTTGAAACTCTATATTAAATTTGTGCTAAAATATACCATTTCACTTATTCATTTCTTGAGCATTTAGACTAAATGTTGCCTGTTTTCCTCAAATCAGTAACACTTTGGCCTACCCTAATCAAAGTGACATAGTTGCTTCAATTCCTAGGTATATCTATATGTGTTTTGTGTATCATTTTAGTGTGACATTTTTTGATGACATTCTTCTATGAAGAGCTGACCTCTTAAAATGTAGAAGAATTGCCATTTGTGTGGTTTTTAGCTACCTGGAGCTTTATTTATAATTTATTTTGAAAAATTAAAATGTCACATTTATTTCCCAAATGTCAATATTTTCTAGGTTTAGGTAATTAGAATAATAAAACTGAAGACATTTTTAAGCATATTTTATATGTAGTGAAATACTGTGAAAATACTAGTGAACAGCATTTTGCTGTAATATTGATTTCAGTTAACTAGAATTTAAACAGTCACCAGGGTATGATAGGTAAGCATAGTTTTCATTTATTATACAACAGGTAATTTTCTGTTAGCATGCAAATTATTTTGATAAGTGTGAATATAAAAGTTTAAAAATAGTATTTTTACTTTTTTATCTGGATCTGCCCCCAATTTTTACTTTGCTTTTTTTGTAACACCATTTCCTGTGAAATTTTCATAATTTGTATCACATTGAATATTTTATCATTTTAATTTTCTAGAGACCCTTTAAAACCTAAATAAGATCTGGGTTCAGCCAGAGCAAAGCAAGTAGGAAATAAATTAAGAATTCTGCTAAGAAAAACCACTGTAATATTTAGGTCCATGAGAGCATACACATGTATAAGTCTAATCATATGCTAGATATAGTGAGTAAGCTGTAGTATTTCTTATGAATGCTAATAATGTTTAAATTCCCATCTTTAAGATCTTAGCATGTGTATATATTTATAAAACATGAATCGTATGTTTTCCTCTATGGCTTGCTGTGTATCATTCAGCAATAGGATGCTCTCCAAAACATTCACTAACCTACTAGCCTAATGACTAAATTTGTTTTTGTATGTGTGTGTGCACTTGTATATGTAGCATTTTTTTTCAACTTGACATACCTTATTTCAGACATTAAAAAAGAGAGAATATTTTATATGGAGGATATTGTCTACCAATTATTTGTCTCTGTACAGTTCTTAGCCTATGCATTTACTGCTTGGTCATCCATTGAATTATCCCTTTTAGACAACCAACCCATGTTTTTGCCATATGCCTGTATCCCTTTATTATTGTAATTTAATTGGTCCTTACATTTTGTTTAATTTTCTGTTTCCCTCCCTAGAGATCATACTTATTCTAGAATGCATCCATATAGCACTTTGTTTCACCCAGAGGTGAAACCAAATAAAATTCATAAATCTCATTCTGCACAACTGTGTGCTCAGATACTTAGCTCAGCCTTCCAATATTTCAAAGTAAATCTGAGTGATTTGTCTTTTGCTCTTTTTGTTTTAGCCCTATATGCTGTTATAAGACAGTAACAGTGAATGAAAGAGAAAAATGTGAATACCACTTAAAATTTTTTGATAAACATTTTTGGAGCAATTTTTTCAAAATTTGTATATTTGTGGTAATAACAAATTAAACATCTTATTACTCACATATCTTGGGAATCATGCACATTTGCCAACTGGTACTTCTCTTCAAAGTTGGAAAAGGAGATTTACAGGAGAATGTGTAATTTTCAGTATACTTCCATGTCCAGCCTTTTGAACAATTACAGTAACATTTTAAGTTGGGAAATGAATACTGGGATAAGGGATATGAGTTTTGACATTTAAAGTCCTTTCTTTTAAACGCTAATCCCATCCCCAAATTGTGTTACATGAGGTTTATGAGTGTTTTACTGAAAATTGAATTATCCTAAGATTATTTTTAAGGTTTGTTTTTTAAAACTCATGGGAACATACTTAGTTGCACTTTTTGCTTTTTAACTGAGTTTCTTTATTTTTGATTATCAAATTTAGCAAGTTTTGATTAAAAGCCAATATCAAGTTAAAATTTTTATGGTGCTGTATTTTGAGAAATATGGATAGCACTCAAATTTATACATTTCTCATATAATCTTAAACTTGATTTTTTCCTTTATTCATCTTTCCTCTCGCCTGCTTTTATCTTCATTTCTGTTTCTGCAGTGAAAACTGCACCTAAGTTAGCATACTTCAACAAGACTGGAAATTTCTGATTCATTGATGGGAGAATACAGTAGAAAGGCCCTATAGTTTAGAATTAAGATGTGTTTGTTTATTTATATGTATGCCCATTTGTTATTATTATACCTATCTTGATTCTAGAATATGAGACTTTGACCTATGAAAGCATGATAAGTATTTTGTAAAAAAAAAATACTGTTGATACATAATGAAATTGCCATTGGTAATTGACTTTTAAAACCACATACAAAAATATTTAGAAACCCAGTTGGAAAATGTGTTTTTACATGTCACCAAATACACCGTAGGCAGTACTACAAATGTTAATTCTTTAAACAATACTTTGGTGATGGCAATCAGTAATTTATTTCTTTGTCCTGTAACTTACCATCCTTGTCTTTTGTAATTCCTTACACAGTATTAACAAAACTGTACCTTATGTTTGCTCTTAATATCCATAAATTCAAAGATAGAAAACCATTCAGTTAATAGTTGATGTGATGTTGTATATGGGCAAAATGCCCATTAATTCAGTTATTTAAAAAAAGGTAAACTGAACTGGCTTAGTTTATAAAAGATGTTTTGTTTGGCAGTTATCAGTCATTATAAGTAATTACTTTCAAAGACAAAAACTGGACTTATTTGTTGCCATTCTTTATGGGATGTTTACAATAAAATTCCAAGTTGTTTGGAATCAATTGCACTCTTGCTGCTTTATGCCTTAACTCATGTACCAGAGATAAATTAACAAGAAGAAAGAAATATGGCGTTAGTTTTCTGTTATGCAGCTTTAAAGATTATAACATACAACTTTTGGGTTATTCCTTTCTTGCTTCCTTATCATAGAATATTATTATTTTTAATCTGAGAAATAAGGGTGCTTACTATAAAAATATTTTTGATCTAGTCATTAAATCATTTGTTGGGGGCCCGGGATTTAGCTCAGTGGTGCCACCACCTGCCTCGCAAGCACAAGGTCCTGAGTGTGATCCCCGGTACCAAAACAAACAAACAAACAAAAGTATTTGTTGGTTCACTTTTTAGGTAACAAATATTAACACTTTAAATGTTGGCTGTTTCGTGCCTTACATAACACCCTGCAAAGCAATAATAAACTGTAAAGCTTTTTCAAAACGTATAGATTTTAATATAATTTTTGATTTATAGGTTTTCACAACTAAGCTATGAATCCCTGGCATATTTTATTTATGTTCAATTTGCCTACAAAGCTTGACTGTGTTATAAATTGTACTTTAATATATTGTAACTGCAGAAGGGGAAGAAGTAAGGTGAAAGGTGAGTTCTGAGCCAGGATCTGAATGTCTTAACAGGAGCATTCATCCTAGGTCTGAACCTGTACCATTCCCAGAATTTTTCTGCCATTGATAGGAATTTCATCACGTTCAACAGAAGTAAGCTGACTTAAGAGAGCATCTCTTCTACATCTACCATCATTTTCTGGTATTAGATCAATGACTATGAAAGCAGCCTAATTTTTCACGGTATTCAGAGATTGAATATTGTGGAGATAAAATATTTGGTAATTTTGTTTAGTTGCTGGATGGGTTAATGTTTTACATTAAAAATTGTTAGCAAGCTTTGGTATTCTCTTACCTCATTCCCTAGACTTTTTTAAATAGAAAAATTGAAGAATTTTTATGACAAAACTGTATGGAAGTATTCACATTATCAATTTTTTCCTAGTTGAAGTCAAGGAAAAAATGTGCTCTACCTTTTCTCTGGATTATATGCCACTGACTATTTAAAGCTAATTTGCAAAAATGAACAAAATAAATTGAAACCAATATATTAAGCCTTATATCCCTTTGTTGCCAGCTGGCAGTTGCCTTAATAAAGTTTGTCACATACATATTATAAACTTCTAATAGATAATTTTAAAGTTATTAAACATTTATTTTGATATTGAAGAATGAAAATTTTTTGATACTAGTATCTTCATCAATTTGTATATTTTGAGTTGCTGACTTCCCTGATCAGCATCCATATGGTAATTTTCAATTTTAATTTTTCATAGTAAGTTTATTAAGAAATAAAATATTTCACATTGCTTAATTTTACATTACTAATATTAATTGATTGCATTTATTCATTCTTAGGGAATTTTCTGTTGTTGATTTTTGTCTTGTAATTCTAACTAGAATTTCTATAGTAACATGTTAATTTATATTAGCAACTTTGTATAGACTGTTAAGTAATTTAAAGCAGTAAAACTTGTCTTAAGGTGTTTATTTCCCCCTTTGGCATTTCATAAAAGCATATGATATGTTAAAATGAGATTTGCTTACCAAATTGTATATTATTTTAAGAGGGTTATTTTGTTGTCTTTGGATACTGTTTATCTAAAATATTAATAATGAAGTGCTGGTAGTTCTGAATTGCTTCCATGTGATAATTTTTATTTATAGATTGAGGTAATCTTGTGTGTAAAAACATAAGTTTTAATTTTGTCTAGTCTGACACTGTGGACCTGAAATATCTTGACATGACATTCTCATAGTCACTAAATTACCAAATACTTTCAATTTGGGGCTTGGCCATTCCTTTTTATCTTAAATGCTTTTAATAGTTTCCATGACAAAGAAAAGTAATCACTAAGGCAAAACGATAGTTGAAGTTTGTGGTAGATATACTTTTACTTCACAGTTCAAAAATTTAAGACTGATAAATATGATGAATAGTGTACTAAACTTACCACTTTTAAAATTTGTACTAGTTTATATTATGATTATATTCAGGGTGGGGAGTTGATACATGAACACAGCACATCTTAATTCTTTTTATATCACTTCGCTTATAGTTATTCAAGCAGGAATTGTCAGAGATATGAAGTAATGAGTCACATTCTTTTTTATTTATATGGTAATCTCCATTGAAGATTTTTACTTTTTTGTACCTTAGCCAGTGCAAAGCCTGAGACTTTTTTTCCATCTTGAATTCAAATGAGTTTAAAAAGCCTATGCTCTTTACATTAGTAATAGGAAATGACTAATGAAAGACTATACTATTCTTTGCGAGATTTCTTCACTTGTTTATTCTTCAGCATTTATTGACTACCTTATATGTCAAGCACTGTAATTATTTTATG